ATTTCCAACTGTGGAGATATGTGAAGATGTTTTATTTTTATTTTTTTTTTTTTTTTTGTGGTTTTTCTCCGGTACCGGGAACCGAACTCACGACCTTGCGCTTGCCAGGCAGGCACTTTTGCCGCTGAGCTCAATCCCCAGCCCTGTGAAGATGTTTTAGAAAGATGTAGCTTTTGAGCAAAGTCTTAAAGAGGAACTGAAATGAACTTGACAGGCAGAGATGGTTAAATTTTGCCATACCTAAAAGAATGCAAAAGGAGGATGATGATGGTGATGGTAATGAAATCCAATAAGCCATGTTTGGGAAAACAAGTAGATCTATTTTGAGAGGAGTGGAAAGTTCAAATGGAAAAACTGTGTGAGAAAATCCCAAAATGCAGGTTAATTAAGCCCTTATCATTGAGAACCGCATCAAGCTATAGGCTAGTAGTGCTGGGTTTCTATGTAGACTTGCTACATTGAATTAGCCTTGGGTGTTAAAGTGCACAGACCTGGCCCACACTTTGGATCAAACTCAGGGGCAAAACTCTGAATCTGTATTTCTACAACTTTTCAGGGTGATTCTGCTGAATGTGAAAGTCAGAGAACATTTACTATCAGAGAGATGGTTCGTGGAAGCTTTGCGGGAGGGGAATGACAGCATGAGTTGAAATGAGGGTCCAGACATTGGCAGGCAAAGTGGGCATCCAGGGTGATGGCAGATTGAGAGAGCTTGGGCATGAACATGGAGCCTGGAGCACAGTGACTGGTGGCTGGGGTAGGGACAGCAGCAATCGGGTGTCACTGTGAAGACAGAGCGTCTGTGGCTGGTAAGACTGGGATGCCATCATCAGAAATATGTATAATGAATTCTCTTAACACACGCAAAACCATTTTACACCCATCCTGGCAGAATTCCTCCACAAAATACTTCCAGAGTTTTCCAAACAAATCTCACATGTGCTCATGAATCACTCTGATCCTATCTACACGTGTTCTACAGGGGTGGTCAGAAAATATGGTGAATGTTTACATTTAAAAAATGTATTACAGTAAAAGATACATTGCCATTAATTGCTGTCATAACACTCCCCTCCACCATGAACACGCTTTTCCCGTTGTTCTTGCCACTTCGTGAAGCAGTTCTGGAAGTCCTCTTTCCTGGGTGTCTTTATGAAGTATGAATGCTTTAATCAGCAAAAATACAGTGAATGCTACTGCTGCGTGTTATCCAGTGCAAAGGCAGGCTTTCAATAACTTTACAGTGTGTCCTCATCCACATGTTCACCAATCTGGCACCATGTGAGTTCCGCTGTCTTCCCCAAAGTCAATGTGACCATGAAAGGTCAATGCTTTAAATCAGTTCAGAACATCAAGGCAGCCATGACAGCACAACTAAAGCCATTCAGGAAAGAGGACTTCCAGAGTTGCTTCAGCAAGTGGCAAGAACAATGAGATAAATGTGTTCGAAGTGAAGAAAGTATTGTGAGGAGATGAATGGAAATGTGTTTTTTACTCTGATACATTTTTTAAAACTTCAGATATTCACTGTATATATTGATCAAGCTGCATAGCTCCAGGATCAAGTCCCAGAGGGAGATTGTGGGATCAAAGGATAAATAAATAAGTAATTTTTAAAGCTTCTTCTGGGCCTGGGATATAGCTCAGTGGCATAGTGCCTGCCTGGCAAGCGCAAGGTTGTGAGTTCAATTCCTGGTACCAAAAAAGAAGAAGAAAAAATATATGAAGCTACTCCCAAATTTTTCCCCACGTGATTAATGAATATACAGGTTCATTAACACATTAAACTTCCACATTTTTTGTCTCAGGGATAGGTGACTAGAACCTCAGCAGTTTGTGTGGCAGGTCGTGGGGAGAGAATGGGTAGGCTGGGACCCTCCTGATGTGCCCAGAACCTACTGACAGCTGCATGGGGGCAAAAGTGACCACCAACTCTTAAATTTTCATTAGTTTGTTAGAAATGTATTTGACTGATTAACTGATCACTTTTTTACATGAGTTCTCACTATGTTGCCCAGGCTAGATGCTAATTCCTAGGCTCAAGAGATTCTCCCACCTCAGCCTCCCAAGTAGCTGGGACTATGGACCTGTGCTATGGTGCTGGGTTTTCATTTTTTTAATTGGCAGTAAAATGGACTTTACTTTTGGCATACAATTCTATTAATTTTCACATGTACAGTCTGTAATCACCGCTGCAGTACAGAATAGTTGCATCACCTAACAAGTACCTCACGGCAGAGCGTGGTGACACATGCTGCTCGGGGATGAGGCAGGAGGATCACGAGTGAGATCCTATCTTAGGAAAAGAGGGGTCCTGCAGATGTGGCTCAGTGTGAAGGGCCTGGGTCCAATCCCCAGTACCACAAACAACAACAAAGCAACGCTGCTTTGTGCCATCCCTTTGTAATGCCACCCTAGACTCCTGAGACTCTCAATCACAGATCAATGCTCTGTCCCTGTGTTGTTGTCTTTTAGAATAGGTCACATGCCTAGAACTGTACACCCTGTAGTCCTGGGAGCTTGGCTTTTTCCATTCAGCATAATTTCCTGGAGATTTCATCCAAGCTGCTGCACACATCAGTGGTTCATTGCTTTTTATTGCTGAGAAGTAGTCCATTACACCAATGCACCACAGCTCATTACTCATTTGCCCACTGAACGGCCTTGGACTTGCTTCCAGCCTGGGGTGATTATTAGTAGAACTTCTATTGATACAAACATACGTGTATGATTTTTATGAAACTCAAGTTTTAAGTTCCTCTGTAAAGTTTCATGTTTACTATTTCATGAGTAAGTGTGGGGTTATTTTTAAATATTTGAGACATATGTGTTCCCTTTTCTGTGAACTACTCATTGCCTTTACCATTTGGGGGAGAGAATTTGTTGGTGATTTTTATTTTAGAAAAGTGAGTTTGGAGAGCTGATGGGTAGTATTCAACTAAAAGATACACAGAACTAGAGTTCAGAGAGATACCCAGGTACATAGACGAGAGAGACACACTGATGGAGAATGGAAACACGAAGCCATGACCTGCACAAACTCTGCAAGGGAGAAAACACAAAGGCTGGAAGACAGATCCTATGGACATGCCCATGTATAGGATGTGAAAAGAGCAGGATCTAAAGGAGGAAACCAAAAGTGAGACTTCACTTTTTCAAGGTCAAGAAAGAACCAGGATGGAACAGTGTAAGATGCATTAAAAGCTAAATGTCAGTGGTCTGCTAAGTAAAGGACTTAAATGCACAGGGCACAGTGGAGAAAAATTGCTCTCCAAGAATCCTAAATAAAAGCTGCACAATTCATTCTGATTGGACTAGCTAGGTCACATGACCATCCAGCACTATTGACTATGACTGGAGGATAAAGTGCATTGATTGGCCCAGCCAGGTCATGTGCTCCAACACCACAGTTTCTTAGAACTTCAGGCACCATGAGGTCATGGACTCCCACAGGAAAATTATTGAGTGGAAGACATGGATGCTGAAGCAATAACCAAGAACTATGTAGAAATTGGCCTCAGAGAGTACTATATCCTCTCATTGTAGGAGCTTCAACAGAAGCTGTGTGTCAAGTTGAGAAAATGGAGGTACTGTGTGGAAAATTCAAAGAATTAGGCTTAATTTTGGTAGCCAGTAAACTTTAAAGAAAACAAAATTGTCTTTCCAAAATTGAGGCAGCATCAGTGCATGTTCATACAGCAAAGAAAAGGAGCCACAGGGAAGGAGACAATGGGGATTGTGAAGGCTGAGTAGCTAAGTTACAGGAAGGATGAGGACAGAAAGAAAAGGTGGCAAAGCCCCTGCCGCCTCATGGAGAATGTGAGGAGCCACAGGATGTCCTCTAAGACAGTCTCCTCATCACTTCTCACTCCTCTCCCACTCATTTTCCTCCCTGCAGTCTACAATGCATGTCTATTAGGTTTTGGTGTTTTCCAGATTTTCCAAAGCATTGGGGGAACAGGTTTTAAATGTTTCAATTGTAAACTTTCAAAATAATCCACATGGAGCTCTGTAACACAACTACAGCAAGCTCCTCATTCTCTGGTTTAATGGTATTGGTCTATTAATGACATGAGGGCTTTACCTTGTAATAAATTTTACAATGAGGAAGCAAAAGGAAGAAGATGCACAACAGTGAGGAGTAAAAGATATTTTAAGCAGTGAAACAAGGGAGGAAAAGGAAGAAAGAAAACGACATTCTAAAATGTCCCAAGGAATGGGATGAATCAAACAAAGCATGGCACATCTGCTTGATGAAACTGTATGCACACTGGTGGCTGGCGATGTAGCTCAGTGGTAGAGCACTTGCCCAGCACACAGGAGGCCCTGGGTTCCATCTCTAGCCCAGCAAATGGGGGAAATAAAGCAAGGGTGTACACACTGTTTGAAACACTAATCTTGAAGACAGAGTGGTAGTGCCAAGCCTAGCAAGGTAGAGTGTTGGTATTACCACATCTAAAGTGACTTCTCAAGCCACCTTGCCAATTACACATCACCTATACATGTTATTACATATCCTCTAAGGAGCAGCGCTGTGCTTGCTGTGCTTGCTATGCTTATGTGCCTCCCCCTAAGGCTAACCCCCTCCAGCCAGCCTGCAGCCCCAACCTGGCCTCCCCTAAAAGGACAGTGCCACCTCCATAAAGACTGTGACAAGACTTGTGAGTATTGACATACTTATAAGATCTGCGTAATAAACAAGAATGAAGAACCGTGAGATTGCAGCCATTCGTTAAGAAGGAAATACAGGAATTTACATGAAAATAGAGATAAACTGAAAGAAAATATGTAACATGAATAATGTGATTTTATTGTGTGTATTTTTTTCCTATTTGCATTTCAAAATGTTACAATGCTGTACTTTCTTTGAACATGCCCTGTAAAATAAAATAAAGCAGCAACTGTATTTCAAATATTGAATTATCCATGTTTGACTCAGAATAATCAGTGGGAACAAGGAAACACTCATTGGCTCCTGCTTTTCTCTGTTGTCCCTGCAGGATGTGCTGGGTGGCGTCGTGATCACTACGCTCCTCATTGTCCTCACCTACCCTGCCTGGACCCTCATCGACTGCCTGGACTCGGCCAGCCCCCTGTTCCTTGTGTGCATCATTGTTGTGCCTTTTATCTTGTGCTACACTTACCCTGTGTCTGAATACTACAGCCCAACCAGGGCCGACACCACCACCATTCTGGCTGCTGGGACGGGAATGATTGTAGGACTCTGGATCAACCATTTTTTCCATCTCGTATCCAAGCCTGCTGACCCTTTCCCTGTAATTCAGAACATCCCACCGCTCACCGCTGACAAGTTCATTTTAGGTCTGACCAAATTTGCAGTGGGAATTGTGTTGATCCTCTTGGTTCGCCAACTGGTACAGAATCTCTCACTGCAAGTATTGTTCTCATGGTTCAAGGTGGTCACCAGGAACAAGGAGGCCAGGCGGAGACTGGAGATTGAAGTGCCTTACAAGTTTGTCACCTACACATCTGTTGGCATCTGTGCTACGACCTTTGTGCCAATGCTGCACAAGTTTTTGGGATTACTCTGAGCCTCAGTAGTTGGAATCCACCCACTGGATATGAGAGCCAAGAAAGCGGTTGGGTGTGCAATACTGATAGCTCATTTTTCTTTACACAAAAACTTAAGTCATACTTCTGTTTTGTTGATATCAGCTAGATGATGCTGCTGCGCAACTAATGCTGCCCTTAGTCTGTAGCCACTGCGCTGTAGCTGAAGTCGGGCTGAAACCCACACGGAGTTCTTCAAGGGCAGGCCCCATCCCCTTCTGTTACACGGACTTCGGACTAGTCCTGGGCTCACAGGAAGTGTGGCCTGGCTCTGGGACGGCTATAAGTCCCACTTGGCTCTGGAGAGCCCACAGAGATGGGGTAGGGTGAAGGGAGAACATTTCCTTTCCAGTCATCACTCTGCCAGGCACTGAGTCTTATTTCCAGAATTATAGCTTTGGTCAGGAGAAAGGGTGGCATCACGTACAGCTCCATTCTTTGCATGGGGCAACTTCCTTGTGTTATGATGAAATTAGACCACGACTATGTGGTGGCAGGACCACTTGGAAGAAAGCTTCCTTCGAGGAGGTGATGGCAGGGGAGAGCTGTGAGCCTATGTGAGGAGCTTTTTTCCCTAGCCCTTGTCTCCCGCAGGAGTCCATGTTGAAATGGAGGTGCTCTTCCTTGGTCACACATTTTGCAGGATCCCTAGTTCTATTCCCATGGCCTTCCGACCCACAAAGTGACTGGCTTCTGCCACCTCAACACTGCTGGACCCATCTGGGACTTGCCGGGACTCCCGTTCTCTCCCACTTCAGCCTTCAGGGTCTTCAGCTGTTAAGGCTTTCATGTGACCTTGCAACTGGCATCTACCTGTGAAAGTGGATCAACAGAATGGACCCACGTAATCCTTTTCCTGACCAAGAGGGAATGGGCCTCCCCGACATTGCCTGGTGCCAGCAAGGCCTCCTGGACATTCTCCATGTCTCAGTTTCCTTCTACTAATTCTGTGTTCTCATCTACTACATAGACTCAGGGACTCCCACTGCCTTCCCACCTCTTATCTGCTGGCAACTTTAAGGGTCGTTAATGCAAAAACAACCTGGGAGAGCCTGTCTTGGGAAAACACACCAACCACATATAACAACACCTATTGAACCTAGTGTGGTCCTCCTTAGATGTGGGGTGGGGGTGATCATCACGCACACACCTGCCAGTTCCTTCCCAAGACCCCCTTAGTTCTGAAGAATGAATAGGTATCAACAGCTTTCCTACAAGTTACCCTAAACATGTAGTTAACAAAGTAGCTTCCAAAGAAGCATGTCCCAACCTCCAAAACCAGTGTTTCATCCTTCTCACACTTCATCATCATGTGCACATTTGGGAAAAATTAGCTTCCTTAACCTGAGGTCTGAACCTTTGTGTCCTGTGTTTAAGCCAGAAACCACATTTCCCCTCATTCCAGATCTCCTCCATGGCCTTACTAGTGGGATGATTTTCGGTATGTGACTTAGTACTCCTATTTCTCAAGAAGCATAATTTTTAGAAGAATACCTCCAGTTCTCTTAAAACTCTTCTCCCATTTATCATAGTTAGGAGGGATCAAAATGACCCAGCATTTGACTGCTTTTTGCATCAAACTGACCAGTCTGTGCAGCACCATGATTGTGAGAGAGGCCAGGCCAGCTCCAAGCACTCTGGCCTCTTCAGTGCCCTGGTTGCTGGTTGGAGGAGGCCCTGTCCCATACTTCTGTCCTGTCTGCAGCTGCCAAAGCAGAGTTGGCCATTCTGGATACTGTTTACACCAAATGATTTCAGTTGATTTGTCTGAAGCCAAGAGACAAAAGAAATCAGCTTTCTCCACTTGTATTTTTGAAAAAGAGGGGCTATAACCATTGGCACAGCAGTGGGTGCAGCAATTCATATAAAGTTTTTACAGCTGTCCCTTTGAAGACCCCACAGTAGAAAGGTTGACCAGCTGTCTGGGTGTACTGAAAGTTGTGTTTGCAAAATCTGGATTGAAGATGAATATTTTAGTAACACAACGTTAAAGAATGGCCGAAGGATCTGTCGTGATGGATCGCTTTTTAAAGTATCAGGTAGCAGCAATAGGAGAGTGAAAAGAATGTATTTGTAGCCAAGCATGGTGGCGGGCACATGCCAGTAATTCCAGCTACTCAGAAAGCTGAGGGAGAAGGATCACAAATTGAAGTCCAGCCTGGGCAATCTAAGGGGACCCTCTTCGAACCAAATACTTTTGCAAAAGGCTGGGAGTGTAGGTCCGCGGTAGAGCACCTGCCTAGCATATGCATGAATTTGGGTTCCACAGCCAGCACCAAGGGAAAAAAAGCCTGTAGTGGTATGGCCACACTTCATTTTTGAGTACACCTGTTCTGAGGCCTAGAATCAGGCGGAAACTGAGTGAAAAGTCATAGCTGGATCCATACGTTTCCTTTGCCAGCCCTCTTCCATTCAATCCCACAGAGCACCTCACTGCGCTGCACACACTCTCACCTCTGCGGGTCCCTTCCGAGTCTGAGCCTCCTCTCAAAACCTCTGGAGTTTCTCTCTGGGGAAAGACTGCCCCCTGCTGGTTTGGTTCCAGTCTTGGTCCAAAGCCCCTCTCTTGATCTGGAGTCTTAGAAATTAAGAATTTAAAAGCCAAGCTTACCACAATGTGTCTCTAGCATAAGCCTGAATTCTGTGGCCTGGCCAACCTTGACACCGAAGCCCGCAAGATTAGGGTCTCCTCCAGGAGCCAGCCACCCTTATTCCTGTCTCCATCTTCCCCAAACCCATTACTACACGTGGGCCAAGGTGCCCATCCTGTTACCTTCATTCTGAACAGCTGTCATTTCATGCCAGTTTTTCTCAGAACTGCACCATAACAGAGTACATGGGGTAGGGTAGGGAGCCCACATAGACAAGATCTTTGACTTACAAACCTTTAAATAGCAGTAGTTGAAATCGCTCTACCACCTGCCCAATGGTTCACTGAAACATGGAATTTTCTTGCCCAAAGACAACGCAAGTTTCCCAAGTATAATCAACGCATGTGGTGTTTTGCGGCCATATGTTCTAGCTTTCTATTTTGGAAGCCTTCAGCTGTCCTGCTTATGTACTGTATGTAAATTTATTCTTTTAAAAATAAAATCATTTTTGTTTGAGTGTGATTTCTTATTAAATGCTTCAAAACCAGCATTTTGTGTCTTCAAATCATTTCCTTTACCTGGATCTTTTCTCTTTAATTGGACTGGAGTTTGAAAGAGGAGAAAAAGGTAAGTGGTAAGCTATGTAATTCTTGGTTTGGTCATAAATTTGATCACAGGCATGTGCTGGTAAACTTCACAGTGGCCGCAGGCATGATAAACAGGAAGTCAGTGGGACAATGGCATGCTTCAGTGCCCAACTGCTTGATACTGAAGAGCATCCTTTTATTGTATGTGGAGGTGTCACTGTGTGTTGAATGGTAAATATTATTACAGGTGTTGCTAACAAAGGCCACTAAAAGGTCTCATAGGTGAGTATACTCCCTGCTAAACCAAAAGAACATCACCCTAATTCAAATTCTCATCACTGCAACAATATGCTCTGCCCTGAATTTGCTATTTGAAGTGGTACAAGTTAACTCTTATTTGCAAGGGCAAGTCTAGGACTGGATTTATACTGTGAGCAGGTTGTACCTTGCATTTGATTTTAATAGTACCTTATATTATGTCACCAATGTGATGGGCACCATGGTGATATGATGTCATGGGGAGTTTTCCCAGGAAAGAGAAGATAGCATCACAGAACTGCAATTCAGGATCTCTTCAAGTGTCAAGGCTGTAGGAAAAAGACAACTACTACTTGGAATCTGGAAGGAGGGGGAAATTAATTCCAGCTTTGCTTTGAGTTGCTGCAGCAACTCAAAGATGACTCTATAGAAGTCTTGCATGAGCCAAGCTTAAACAGATAGGATCTTCCTGGTCAGAAGTGCTTCCCCAAATATTTCCAGGTCTTACAAGAAAAACCCAAACCAAACCTGCCGCTGTGATTGTGTCAGCACAAGAGCACGAGCTGTGGTGGAGTGAAGGACATGCCAGGGGCTTGGAGGCTACAAAACCACGTCCCGAGAACAGGAAGGAAGTGCAAGGAGCCCCTTCCAGAGAAGGGAGCATCCAGGGGTCATTTCACACACGCTTCCATCACCCCTCATTTAACAGTCTGCTTCAGGCACCATTCTCTTCTGCATTTCTGAACAGCTCACACACAACTTTGCATCCACGTCCCCTAGTTCTGTCCTGTGTGAAGATGACCAGCAGCTGGGAACTTGTTCTGTGTCCTTCCTTAGGCTTCTCCTTACTCAGTTTCCTGAACTAGTCCTGTGAAGCTTCTTTGTAAAATATCACGACCCTGGCTCTTCTGGAGTCCCCTAAATTCTTTCTCTCTGAGTGAAGCCCCAGTTCTCTAGTAAGAGGCTACATAAAACCAAGTGGAACTGGGGTGTACACTTAACCTCTTAACAGACCTTTTCCTCAAAGCTGCTTAAAAACTTTGGAAAGCGTACTGAAGGCTTTGCTATTTAAAAATCATACGCCCGTTCTTCCTTTCTGTAAACATAAGGCTTTAATAAATTAACTTTACGCGCAACATGCATCTGTTGTTTCCTTAAAGTGGGGCACACCTGTAGGACAGACTTGAATATTTACAGATGCACATAAAGAATGAGAGTTGAATGTGGGCCATGAATAGAATATTAAATTCTTAAAACTGTAGCCACATGAGACGAGGGAGCTATACCAAGCCAAAAATTCTTCTTCCTTTTCCACGCTTGTCTATATGGCATGCAAAAACAAACAAGAAAAGCTAAGATGTAGCTAGGAGTTCCGGCTGCAGTGCTGCTTTCATGCACACAGCACATCTGCTGGCCTTGCTCTTCCTTGCTATGACATCAGGGTCCCCGTGGTTGCAGCACAAACCGGATTTTTTTCAGTGCAGGTGTTCAAAGAATGTCAGTGCCTCTTTAATATGCACAGTGCTGCCCTAGATCACTGAAATTGGGACAGGGTGACCTTGTGGGCTCCCTTTGTGCCTGCAAAGATTGAGTCACCTAACTGTGCACCTGAGTTGAGAGATGGAGGTGGCTTTGCAGGATTCCAGTCCACAGGACCCCTATAGAGGTTTTGCGTGAGCCAAGCATGGGAACCGGATGGGTAGCATTGTAAGTGGAGAGATTACACACAGAGCACACTAACCAGACCATTTTAGCTATTTTAATTATGTACTGATAAAAGGATGTGTAAGTGTCTTGAAGATCAAAGAGAGATTTCCATTGTGCCCTGATATGAGGCCCGGCCCAGGGCCTCCACAACAGGTGTGCTGAGCGCTGCTGCCCCAAGTCCTCTCACCTAACTGAGCTTCCTGCAAACAGTTTATTTACGGGGCGCCTCTCTGTCTGGCTTATCTTGCTTCACCTGAGTCACCCCAAGTCATCCTTGTTTAAATGTTCTGCCCAAGACTCACACCCAAGAGATCTCTAACCCCACCCATCTCTTCTTGGGCTTTTATTCATGTCTGTCCCGCACCAAATGAGGCTGTTCACACAGACTTGCTTCTGTTTTAACTGGTGTAGCTTGACAGCCCAAAAAGAAGCGCTTACTTCAGGGGCAGCTTGTTTTCATTCCTCATGACAAAAGGTTGATGCTTGTGGAAAACAGAAAATTCTTCTTTGCTTCTAAGTTTGGTATCACAAAGGCACACTGATTGAACCCAGGGTCTTCACGCTGAGCGAGTTCTCCACCCTACCCCTTTTTCTTTATGAGTCAGTCTTGCTAAGTCACTATGCTGTCTCGGCTGAGGTCAACTTGGCATCCTCCAGCCTCAGCCCAGGGTGGTCTCCCCATCTTAAAGGCCAGATTTCCTTGGTATCTGACAAGTGTCTAATTCCAATACAGAAGCAGCTCCTGCCTAGCCTTGAGCACGCCTCCTAACGTAGGAAGTCTGCTCCAAACTGATGCAGAATCATAGGATGCTCCTGGCTTCTTCAAACACAGCGAAGGCCAAACCTCATGAATGAGGAGTGAAAAACTTGTGTGGCCCACGAGCTTGATCTTACCGTACTGCATTTGTCATGTGGAAGAGAACATGCACAGAGCTCTAGCCAGACAATTCTACTAAACCCTTTGGGGAGATATTTATTCAGCCTACAGGCCGGCTACAGCATCCATTTTCTGTCCACTTGAAAGCCAAAGCAGAGCAGCAAGCCTGAACTATAGTGGACACTGAAACTCCTTTGTGTTTGCTTTGCCCTTCGCTCCTCTGCTTTTAATCAAGGTAATTTCCCCATACCAACTGTGGCCAGGGGCCGTAGGAACTGCTCTGATCATCCCAGAAGTACGCTACTGCCATAGCATTTATTATGCATGCCGGTTTGATTTTGCTTTTTTTAATGTAAGCTTTCAATATGCTTAGTCTGCTCAGACTGCCATAACAAAATGCCATGGGCTGAGTGGTTCATAAACAGCAGCAATTTATTTCTCACAGTTCGGGAGGCTGGGAGTTCAAAGTCAAGGCACAATCAAGGCGGATTTCATCCTGAAGCCTCTTGTGACTGGTGAGCACGCTCTCCCTGTGTGCTCACGTGGCCTCTTTTCATGTGCACACAAGGGTGAGACAGAATTCACAGCCTTCTCACGTCACTTCATACCACTAATCTCATCACAAGGACCACACCCGCCAGCCTTATCTAGTCCTAAGTACCTCTCAAATGCCACCGCAATGAGGGGATAGGCTTCCAATACACGGATGCTGGGGATACACACATTCAGTCTGTAACAATATACATAAAGATCCTAATAAGGCCGGAAGTAGAAGACATCAAATGGGTCAAATGCTTTAGTTGCTAAAAGGGCATATTTTGCTTAAAGCATCTATGTCCCTTTAAGGTCACCTGCCTGTTTTTTGATAAAATGGACAGAAGAACCAAAGCCAATACCCAAGCACTAAGGTTAGTGACATGTACACTACATCACTAACTACTTTGTATTACTACAAACCCCAAGCGCAGAGCCTAAGGCTGAGAAGGAAGATTTTGAACAATGTTCTTTCTTACTCTCCCCTCACGGCAGAGAGAAGCAGCAGTAAGCTGGATGGTTTCCAGTCAGACTACTCCTAGTTAAAGTATAAGAATACTCATTCAATGTGTTTTCAATTCAAAACACATCCTTTGACCTGGCAAAGCCTGCCTCTAGGAATGTAAGCTAGGGGAATACTGTATCGCTCAAGTATAAAAGTCACATCTAAGAAATATTTAATTAATGCCATGTACCTCTGTGTCTATCAAACACCAAATGCGAGTGTTTACGCAGTCACATCCATTAGGATTGGTTTTTTGTGGGCTCCATGCCAATGCTATTCGAGTTCGCTGAAACACTGCAGTGGTAAAGGGTTGGAAATCAATGTCCATCAACAGAGGAAGAACTGAACAAATTATGGCCCCTCAAACTTGGAATCCTCCTTAACCAGTCGCACAATTTTTTAAAGTAGTGGGTTTCGGATTTTTAACTTCTTGTTTTTCAATATCTTTTACATTTGAAAGAAACTTGTAAAGTCTCAGTGTTTTGGAGAAGTCTGTAATACAAACCACTGAGGGAGCTGTGGATTCCAAGTCACTTGTTAGGTGTCTCAAAGCATTTACTGGCCATGTGACTTTCGAGCAAGTGATCAATCTCTCTGAAGTTCAATTGTTTTCACCCTATCAATTGAAAACTCCTATTCAAGGCCAACTATTAGACCACAAAATAAAAATGGGAAGTTCATGTGTGGGAAGATAAACATGAGAGCAAGGTGGTAATGTTGGGAATGTAAGGTAAAACAAAAATCAGTTATGCCTGATTTTCCCTAATAGCAGAACTCCTTTTTACTAAGGCATGTCTTCTCCAAGAAAGACTTCTGGCAGACTCCCCTGGCTCCAACTCTGATGCTTCATCCAGCACCAGGGAGAGAAGATCTGGCTGTGCAGCCTCCCCTTCTAGGCTCCAGAGTTCTATTTTTCCAGCAGCTATGGTTTTTCTTCCTACTTTTTCCTGCTTCAGGGTACAGAAACATCTACTGGTGCTGGGATACCCTGTACAATTGGGTATCAGTGGTACTTTCACTAAAAGTCATTTCCGGCCATCCAAAAAATATTCAGGTGGCTGGGTGCTAACAGAATGGCT